ACTTCGGTAATATACAAAACCAAAAGAGCAAACACTTCATACCTTTTAGAATAAATCACCCTTAACATATAACATAATATATCATACCAAAATGATTTAATCGTTTGCTAAAGTATCATTTATTGCTTGGCGTTCGAGTTGCAACTCAAACGAGTTTGGTATGTTAGGTGACTCGCGATTCTGCGTATTCTTTCGACACAAGACTTTTTTTGTAGCTTCACGAAAGTCTGGGAGAAATATTATGTATATAAGAGGACTGACGCCGGAGTTGACGACAAGTAGAAAGTTATGTATGATATAAGACAAAGAATCCCGATCGATACATGCTGACTTATCAATAATTTCTACTGATGGCATGAAATGATCAAGTAACAACAAAGTACCGTAAATCAAGGTGGGTAAGATGCAGCATGTGTAAAGCAATGTAGATACSAGAACCATTCTTACGGCTGCACGGGTTCGACGTGTTCGTAGGTTTCTCTGTTGTTCGTTAAGATGGGCTTGGATGGCTTGAGGTCTGTCCAACCGTCTTGTCGTTAGAACACCAAGAGCGAATATTACGCAACATAGAATAATTATTAAAATGTCGTGTGCCCAAATAAGAGCAAAATAAGCGTCACCTYTAGGTACACTGCAAGTCCCGTCCGAATAGGTAAAGTATGCAGCAACTARCATGGGGATTAACCAGCAGAAACCAATCACACACACTTGATGTTTTGATGAGTAAGGTCGTCGTCTCTGAAGTGTTGCTTTCGTTGCTCTGAATCGTTCAATGCTGATCACCAATAGAGTTATTATAGATACTCTTAGCGAAATAATTACARAGAATTGTAAAATTTTACAGATAATAATATCCAACAGTCCTTTAGGATATATACTCCATTCATCGTTAGAAAGCCAAGGAATTCTTCTTAATAACGACGCGAGAAGATAAAGATTATCCGACACGGCCATGCTGATGATCAAATGGTGCAGATTTTTGCGTACTGTGTATTTAGCAGCGAGTATGATTACGAAGACGTTGCCAAAAACTCCCAACACAATCATCAATACGAATGCAGTTCGTTTGGCAATTTTCTCAAGATCAGTATCTGGTTCATCGTACTTGCAGTATCTCGAAATGTTTGACTGGTTCGTTGAGATGTTGAAGTCCTCCATTATCGTGTACTATAACTACTCGTTTTATGTGTATCGGTGAAATGACTAAAGCAATAACACAAAAGTTGTCTGCACATGTTATATATGTATAACATACTTTTGCCTGGTGTTTTGATTGGTTGCGAATGATTGATGAATAACAAGAGCTTTATTACGCGTCTGCATTTCAACTGTATGTCAGTCAAGATGACTTTTTGTCAAAATGCACGAAAACACCGTTCAAATAGCAGGRGTGTTCAAAACAGCTTTCTTTACTTTCTTGCAATCTTAGTACATGTATTGCAAGATATTTTCGGGAACTTGTAAGCTGTGGGACTTCCATTGCCAGAAATTTGGGTCAAGATGGCGACGCGCATGCGTTGTAACGTGCAAAAATAAACAAAATGGCTTCCAATTTGTATAAGAAAATGTATGGCCAAGAATATATTTCAGTATTTGTGGACAAAACAAAGCATTATTAACTCAGTGCGCGACTAAAAATGATCAAAGTATAGCTCAATCTTTGTACTCACGGCAACAACGGTTAACAATGAACAGCAGATTTTCTTCCTGGGCAGTTTTTTTTTATAGGTCCTTAAGCCTTCAGATCTCTCATACATTTACACTAAAATCGTCCAAGGTCCATGTACATATCAGTCCGTTTGAGGTAGAAGAATATCCTGTACGGTAAGTGCGCGACTTCAAATCAACACAACAGTGTTTAAACTGTCAAAATCACCAGAAAAAAACGCTGAATCGCTTGTYAATTTTCTTCCTGAAGAACCTAAACATTGCAAATAATTGCCTAGTACATAAACCGCCATTTTGTTTTCCAGCTTTGAGTCGGAAATTATTGAATCAAGAAACTCTCTCACGAAGCCTTCTTGAACCGCCATTTTACTGAATATCAACTCCCAGYGCCTWCTGGGATTKTACACAGGGTTTCCAACCATTTTTAAGTTCAAATGTTTGTCTTTATGCTTTTTTACCGTGTAAAATTCTAAAAATTAGGCGAATTTATTTTGTGTTTCTCGACATTATGAGTCCATTTATAGAAAGGAATTTTCTAATTCTGCTATTCTGAATTATAAATCGCAATAATAACGCAATT